AAGGGACTGTTGAGCTAGATAACCAATACGTGGTGCCACACAACCTCCCCTTACTTAGGAAATATCAGGCTCACATCAACGTTGAGTGGTGCTGCAAGACCAGTGCAATTAAATACCTTTTCAAATATATTACTAAAGGTGTTGATCGAGCCCTGCTACTTCTTCAGCAGAGTGGGACCAAGTCGAAAGCAGAAATCGAAAAAAAGAAAAAAAAACTTGAGCTCGATGAAATAGAAAGATTTCAGGAATGCCGCTACATCTCAGCGTGTGAAGCCTCCTGGAGACTGTTCTCTTTCCACATACATCACAACCAGCCTTCAGTGATGAAACTGACAATCCACCTACCTGGAAAACACAGGGTCATGATAGATTCAACTAAAAGTATTGCGGAAGTTCTGTCAAAGGATGATATTGAGAGAACAATGCTCACTGCGTATTTTGAAGCTAACATAAAATATGAAGAAGCGCGAGAGCTTACTTACATTCAGTTCCCGAGCAGATTTGTGTATCACACTGACACAAAGGAGTGGACTCCACGGAAACAGGGGCAGGCTATAGGCAGAGTCATTTACGTACACCCAGCAGCAGGTGACTTATACTACCTCCGTATCATTCTTAACGTCGTCAAAGGCTCCACTGGTTTTGAACACCTAGCAACTGTAGGAGGTACAACTTTTGAAGAGTTTAGGGATGCTTGCTATGCGTTGGGACTCCTAGACGACGATCAAGAATGGCACGATGCCATAGTCGAACCATCCTACTGGGCAACAGGTCGTCAGCTTAGGAGGTTATTCATCACTATCTTGGTTTGGTGTGAAATTGGCAGCCCTCGGAAGCTATGGGAACATGTCTGGGAACTATTAGCTGAAGATATCCTATATATGAAAAAGAGGGAATTCAACTTTCCAGGGTTGGTTTTACAGGATGAAGAACTGAAACAATATACACTAATGGAAATAGAGAGGTTACTAAAAGAGAATGACAAATCCCTAGCTGATTTCCCTGCTATGCCGAAGCCAAACCCAAGTGTTCTAGAAGAGATATCAAACACCGTCCTCCGCCATGAGCTGAACTATGATACTGAGAAAGAAGCTGCAGAGCATGAGAATCTCTATAGCACCATGAATGAGGACCAAAAAAAGATTTACAACTCTGTAATCGACTCGGTGAACAACAAATCTGGAAAATTGTTCTTCGTATATGGGGCTGGAGGGACGGGAAAAACTTTCTTATACAGGACAATCATTGCAAGACTCCGATCAGTTGGCAAAGTGGTCATACCGGTGGCATCAGCTGGGATTGCAGCACTGTTACTACCTGGAGGAAGAACAGCTCACTCGAGATTCAAACTCCCTCTCGATTTAACCGAAACGTCAGTGTGTGAGATTAAATATGGCTCGATGTTAGCAAATTTAATCTCAAAGACGGAGTTGATCATCTGGGACGAGGCCCCAATGGCTCACCGTCAGGCTTTTGAGACACTTGACCGCACACTGAGAGACCTACAAGCTATGGAGGATCCAGCAGCTGCAACTAAACCTTTTGGTGGTAAAACGGTGTTACTAGGAGGTGATTTTAGGCAAATATTGCCTGTGATTACTGGGGGAACAAGGCATGATACTGTCAAGGCTTCCATCAGCAATTCCTACCTCTGGAAGTCGGCAAACATCCATAATTTAACCATCAACATGAGGCTGAGCCAAGCAGACAAAGAATTTGCGAACTGGATACTCAAAGTTGGCAATGGAACAGCGCCTGCTGTCGAAAGAAATGGAGGAGGTATAGAGGAGGAGGACCAGGTAATAATACCCAAAGAATTCATGATTCAAAGGTCAACACTTCCCCACCAGTCTATCTCAGATGCTGCTTACCCAAACTTTGTTAAGAACTACTTAAACAAAGCTTACCTAACAGAAAGAGCTATCTTAGCACCCACAAACGCCAATGCCAACGAGATCAACTCCTACCTTCTCTCAAAGTTACCTTCTGAAGAGAAAGAATACCTGAGTTCAGACAGCGTGGCTTTCGAGAGTACACCAGCAGGGGACTTCACAGACAACTACACTCAGGAATACTTAAACTCTCTTGAGTTCCCAGGATTGCCAAACCACAAACTTTGCCTCAAGGTGGGTGCTCCGGTAATGATGTTACGCAATCTAGACCAGTACAATGGCCAATGCAATGGGACTCGGATGGTGATTTCACGTCTAGGACACAGAGTTCTAGAGGCTGAGCTTCTGACGGGGACTCATGTTGGAGACAGAGTTTTAATCCCAAGGATACAGTTAACTCCAACAAACACAATACATCCTTTCACTTTCCGCAGAAGACAATACCCAATTAGATTGTGTTATGCGATGACTATAAACAAGAGTCAAGGACAGAGTCTAAACCAGGTCGCTCTCTACCTTCCAAGACCAGTTTTTAGTCACGGCCAGTTATATGTTGCTCTGTCCCGCGTCACAACTCCAGAAGGCTTAAAGATACTTGATGATAGCGAAAGCACCGAAAGAGAAGACGTCGTCACTAATATTGTCTACAGAGAAATATTCAAAAATCTCAGGACAAGTAAGTGACATAAAAACAAAGCATTATATACTTACTTTTAAGAAATTAAATAATTCTCTACCTTACCATGACTTCTACCACTTCATTTAACAGTTTAGGATCCTCTCCACCTCGTCCCAATGAGGAGTACATCTACTCGGCGTCGACAACATATGAAGACCAAAAAAGGATAATACTTGGATTACGATTTTCTGAGACAATCCGTCATCATTCACTTCATACTTGTCGGAACAATTCCTGATAGAAATACTCGATTCATTGTAATTAGATTCCTTCGGAACACTCCGTAGCTTTCACAAAAGAAGACAACTTAGGATTCAAAAAAAAACAAAATGTGTTAGCGATCCACAAATGGAATGCACGCCGTTTTTGGTTAACTAAGACGCCACACAGTTAATAGGTTTAGAGGGCGAAATCAAGCACAAATACATTGACGTTTAAACACAGAAATAAATGAAAACCATGCTTATCGGGAAAACCAGTTAACTAGAAATTGGTACGCTGGTTCGGTTCACTATATATTAAATACGTTTACATACCAACCTCGACGGCTACACTTTAGAAATAACGACTGACTTTAAGCGTAACTTATATAACAAGATTACGGTTCAAAAAATAGACTCATTCAAATTTGTATTAACTTAACAATTTATACTTTACCTTATGCAGAAATAACTATCTATCTTATTCTCTTCATTTTTTCTCTGTCAATCCTCCATCTAAACTACTTTTCCCAAAAAAAAAAAAAAAAAAACTATCCAAATGGTCCAACGCCAAAATTTACTCACCACCCCTATTACTATATACTTACAATACCAACAAAGCTTCCCTCAATTTTTTGAAAAACAAATAAACAATTCAAAAAAATAATAACACATTCAAAAATTAAAAGGCCAATACAGAATTCATTTCCCCCTATAATGTAGCTATCATTCAAACTGGAAATAAATAGGAAATCAATTTGAAATTAATAAAAATATTACACTAAATACATATTATTATGGTTACAAAAAAATTCAAAAAATCAAGCTCCAGGGTGGACGTCATTTATGCAACAATTGTTACTACTATTTAAGGGTTGAAAATTTTGTCAATTACATAGCTAAGAGAGGATAGTCAAATTCGTCATTGTTTTATTTTCCCTTTAATAAAGAGAGACACCGATCTGATCACTTTTTAAATTTAATAAAACAAAGCACGTATCCTTGGACTTCTTTAGATTTCTTATGTGTCCCTCGATTTCGTCGATTTAGCATTAGCTATGTCTGATTCTACTTGATAATATACTTTTCGCCTGCTGTCCCAAACATTATAAAAGCTACGAAATATGCAAACCCATGGTTTGGGATTCTTATTTAGTCGGGCAATCCAAAACATAAGTTACCTAGCAGTTTGTAACAAATTAACAAAAAAAAAAAAAATGCTGCTCATCTTATTAGTACGCAAAAAAAAATTATTAAAAATTCACTTAGTCAAACCCCGGTCCAAATGAAGAAGCGGTATTATGGAAATATGATACAGATGAAGCACAACAGAAGGTGCGATCTTGATAATATGGCTAAAGTATGCAAACATTATAACTACTTCAAACAACTACAAATAAAAATAAACCATATAAGAGGACTAGGTAAATAATACTAAAATCCAATTCTCAGTGGGGGAAGATTTCAAAAAACAAGTAAATATAACAGGAATCAAAACTAAAAAAACCCAAAATACAACCCTCTGGCTATTATATGAGCCTACAATTAAATTAAAAAAAAACTATACAAGCTTCACCAAATCAAAAAACATATTCATCAAATTTATTTCAAACACTACACTGAAATCCGGCGCGTAGCGCCGGCCCGGCCCTAGTAAGCCATAAAAAAAACATAAAAACCTTACAAACAAAAAGCCCATATGATAATAACCCAAATAAAAAAATCAAAAATAAATGATGGCTGCATGGTTTGAACCCACGATCTTGCATTCTTAATTAGACATCTTATACCACATTGCTAAAGTGTATTTCATTGTTTGTAATCATCTTACCAAGACTATAACTTTTAAAAAAATACCTACAAGACCCACAAAATTGCTGACGTGGCGCGTTATGGAGCCTAGAAAGTCTACTATTATAATATAGATTATGGTCTTATTTCCATTTAAAAAATACACTGAAACATATAAGCAAATGCAGAATAAAATCTTCTCTAAAATCTTTTTATTCACACATTACCTTTTAGAGATCCTTTAATTGTGTAAGAACACAAATTTATTTTTTCTTATTCCCATTTTTGTTCTGAAAAAGTTATCCCTTGTTTTGATTACAACGCTCTTATCTAAAGAAAGAACTTCAAAAATCTGGCTATAAACATCAACAGTATCTCCTAAGGCATATTCATCTCGGTTGAAACAAAACATTTTGAGAGAGAGAGAGAGAGAGAGAGATGGAGATGAAGAGAGGACATGTACTGGCAGTGCCATTTCCAGCGCAAGGACACATCACACCAGTCCACCAATTTTGTAAACGACTGATCTCTAAAGGTCTCAAAACCACTCTCGCCCTCACAACTTTCATTTCCAACTCCATCAAACCTCACCCATCTGGTCCAGTATCCATAGCCACCATCTCTGACGGCTACGACCACGGCTTCGACTCATCTGGCCGCTCCTTCCACGACTATGTCCAAAGCTTTAAAACCTTTGGCTCCAAAACCATTGCAGACATCATCCGAAAACACGAGACAAGTGATAACCCCATCACTTGTATCGTCTATGATTCTTTCTTGCCTTGGGCACTTGACGTTGCAAGAGAGTTTGGTTTAGCTGCAACTCCTTTTTTTACGCAGTCTTGTGCTGTTAACTATGTTTACTATCTTTCTTACATAAACAATGGAAGCTTGAAGCTTCCTGTTGAAGAGATGCCTTTTCTTGTGCTTCAAGATTTGCCTTCTTTTTTATCTGCTCCTGAATCTTACAAAGCTTACTTTGAGATGGTGCTACAACAGTTTACAAACTTTCAAAAGGCTGATTTCGTACTCGTTAATACCTTCCAAGAGTTGGAGCTTCATGTTAGACCTCTTTTCTTACAACTTTCTCAACCATGTTGTTTTGTTGTTCATGTCCTAATTTCTATGTTTCTTGTCCTAACCGATCTAACTTTCATTACAGGAGATGGTGTTGTTGTCGAAAGTTTGTCATGTGTTGACAATTGGTCCAACTGTCCCATCAATGTACCTAGACCAAAGGATCAAATCAGACACAAATTACGATCTGAATCTCTTTGATTCACAAGACGCTGCTGTCTGCACCAGCTGGCTGAACAAAAGGCCACAAGGATCGGTGGTGTATGTAGCATTCGGGAGCATTGCTAAGCTGAACAATGTGCAGATGGAGGAACTTGCTTCAGCAGTATGCAACTTCAGCTTCTTGTGGGTTGTCAGAGATTTAGAGGAGGAAAAACTGCCATCAGGGTTTCTTGAGACACTGGACCAAGACAAGAGCATGGTCTTGAAATGGAGTCCTCAGCTTGAAGTTCTATCAAACAAAGCGATCGGTTGTTTTTTGACTCACTGTGGCTGGAATTCAACTCTAGAGGCATTAGCCATTGGGGTTCCCATGGTAGCTATGCCTCAATGGATCGATCAACCTATGGACGCAAAGTACATACAAGATGTGTGGAAGACTGGGGTTCGTGTGAAGATAGACAATGAGAGCATGATTGCCAAGAGAGAGGAGATTGAGTTTAGCATTAAAGAAGTGATGGAGGGAGAGAAGGGCGAGGAGATGAAGAAGAATGCGAAGAAATGGAGAGACTTGGCTGTCAAGTCACTCAGTGAAGGAGGCTCTACAGATATTAACATTGACAAATTTGTAACAAAGGTTCACAACAAATAAGTTATCACATTAAGTAGCAAAAAACTCCTTTATAGTGTCTTAATGTGTCAGTCTTTCATTCAATGTAATCTTTAAGTTGATTATTCTTCCGGTTACTCCCCTATCTTTTTTTTTGAGAAAAGGTTACTTCCCTATCTTACAATGTTTTCTACCATATTGTTTTCGTTTCAATAGGTTTCCTGCTTTCAGGTGTCTGTCATCACTCATCACTATCCGTTTTCCGATTTAAGCACTTTGGTATTTCAATTACAGAACTTGACGACGGCAGATGGAGCCTAGCTCTCTTGCATTACCATGAGTGACCATCTTCTTCTGCCATTTCACATGATTTCTGGCAACTAGATCTTTTGCAACTATTTTAATAATGCACTAAAAATGTAACTGATATGGGTTTAACGCTATATAATATGCTACAAGTTTAATGTAGACTATAAGGTATTACAATACTTTAACGCATCAAATTAGTTCAAAAAAATTCATGTCGAAAGAAAGTTTAATAACACTTTAAGCTAGACTTAAATAAAGCCAACAAGTCGTAGGAGTTTCCGATCGGTTACCTCAACCTCTCAAGACATGTTTTCGTTTACCCGTACTATTTATTGCACTTTTTGTCTTGTCTTAATTGACATCCGCCTCTATCATTGTCATTTTTGAATTTGCGACTCACTTTCTCAAGTGTGTTCGATGGGAAGGTATGACTCTATGTGGATCAATCAAAACATTATCTTTCAATATCTCATGGTTAAGTTTGGATGTAGTTTCCTCCATAATGTTTTTTGTAACCTGGAGCCAGATAGAATCTCCGGTTAATTAATGATTTGGAAGTAGGCAACCAAAGATTTGTAACTTATATTTACCATTCCACCTGTGGTTTTAATTCTATTACAACTCTGCCACGCGTTAGAAACATCTATATAATTCTGAGAAAGAGCCAATTTTATTATTCTGAGAAACAGCCCCAAGTGCTGGGTACTTGATGTACATGTTCTTTAAACGTGATCACCTTTGTCATAATTTAATGGCATCTTAACAATTGTTAGGATGGAAAAATAGAACATAGGTTTGATTTTCGGTTGTAAACAATCAAATCAAATATAACAAATAAATCATTTATTTTATATGCATGTTGGAGCTGATTTTTTTTCTACGCTGTATTAATATTCTATATAAGCATCTAACTTATCGAATTTTTGATACAATGTTGTCAAACTCATAATATTTTTTTTCATAAACTATTGTTTATTTATGTGAACATTTAAAATTAATAGATTTTTATTTCTGAGATATATGTGATCTATTCTTTGTTTTAGTTTTTTACTAACGTATGTGATCTATTCATGCGCATATAGCTAACTAAACGGCTAATAGTGTCACGATTTTTGTTCTGGTAAGAACGTATTATATTAGTTAAATTTTATAATATTTTTAAAATATATCTACATGAATTTACAACTCTGCGATGTCGTTATAACGGTTGCATTGGTATTGAAAATAGGCGATAATGAGGAGTATTAGATATTAGTGAAGTCTGTGAAGAACAACATATGAAGACATTAAATAAACAAGTCCTTTTCTTGTTGGCTTTTTTGTCTTGTAATTATAGAACCGTATTGAATCTTTTCATTTCTTACTTACTTACTCTATTCCGGGTTTTTCTCTTATTTTCTCCATCTCTTAAAAGATTTAATTTCTCCAGAAATAACAATACAACGGCAACAAAATCGATGTGTTATTATATTTTAATTTTAAGACACTTTCACATTCTAAGAAAACGTGAAAAGCAAACGTTGAGCACAACATGTTCTCTCCTTCCATGCATTTGCATTCCTCGTGTATTTGTAATATTATATTAAAAAAACATTGCTTAACATAGTAAATAATATGGTTTTCATCAATAAATTTGAAATTGTAAATATTATTCTTTTTTGAGAGATATGATTTTATATATATCCTTTTTAAAACACTGAACATATAAGCAAATGCAGAATAAAATCTTATTTGCACATTTCCTTTTCTTGTGGAAGAAAAGCAAATTGATTTTCTCTTCTTATTTACATTTTTTCTTATAATGAAAAGAGAAACAAATATATCTCTTGTTCTGATTACAACGTTCTTATCAAAAGGGAAGAACCAGACAAACCTGTATAAATATCAGCAGTATCTCCCAAGGCATAATCACTTTGGTTTAAGCAAAACATTTTGAGAGAGATGGAGAATAAGAGAGGACATGTGTTGGCGGTGCCATACCCAACCCAAGGCCACATCACACCAATCCGCCAATTCTGCAAACGACTCATCTCTAAAGGTCTCAAAACCACTCTCACTCTCACCACTTTCATCTTCAACTCCATCAAACCTGACCCATCTGGTCCAATCTCCATAGCCACCATCTCTGACGGGTACGACGACCACGGTTTCGACTCATCTGGCTCCATCGATGACTACCTCCAAAACCTCCAAACCTTCGGCTCCAAAACCATTGCAGACATCATCCGCAAACACGAGACAAGTGATAACCCCATCACTTGTATCGTCTATGATGCTTTCTTGCCTTGGGCACTCGACGTTGCACGAGAGTTTGGTTTAGCTGCGTCTCCTTTCTTTACGCAGTCTTGTGCTGTTAACTACGTTTACTATCTTTCTTACATAAACGATGGAAACGTGAAGCTTCCCGTTGAAGATTTGCCATTTCTTGCGCTCCAAGATTTGCCTTCTTTTTTATCTGTTTCTGGATCTTACCCTGCTTACTTTGAGATGGTTCTCCAACAGTTTACAAACTTTGAAAAAGCTGATTTCATACTCGTTAATACCTTCCAAGAGTTGGAGCTTTATGTTAGATCTCTCTTCTTACAACTTACTCAACCATGTCGTTTTGTTGTTCATGTCCTAATTAATTACTATGTTCTCTGACCTAATTAGCATATTTTCGTTACAGGAGAAGGAGCTGTTGTCCAAAGTTTGTCATCTATTGACAATTGGTCCGACTATTCCATCGATGTACTTAGACCAAAGGATCAAATCAGACACAGAATACGATCTGAATATGTTTGATTCGAAAGATGCTTCCTTCTGCACTAGCTGGCTGGACACAAAGCCACAAGGGTCGGTGGTGTACGTAGCATTTGGTAGCTTGGCTGAGCTGAACAATGTGCAGATGGAGGAGCTTGCTTCAGCATTAAGAAACTTCAGCTTCTTGTGGGTTGTCAGAGGCTCAGAGGAGGCAAAACTACCATCAGGGTTTCTTAAGACAGTGGATAAGGAGAAGAGCTTAGTCTTGAAATGGAGTCCTCAGCTTGAAGTTCTATCAAGCAAAGCTATCGGTTGTTTTTTGACTCACTGTGGCTGGAACTCAACTATGGAGGCATTAACCTTTGGAGTTCCCATGGTGGCTATGCCTCAGTGGACCGATCAATCTATGAACGCAAAGTACATACAAGATGTGTGGAAGGCTGGAGTTCGTGTGAAGATAGAGAATGAGAGTGGGATTGCCAAGAGAGAGGAGATTGAGTTTAGCATTAAGGAAGTGATGGAAGGAGAGAAGAGCGAAGAGATGAAGGAAAATGCGACGAAATGGAGACACTTGGCTGTCAAGTCACTCAGTGAAGGAGGCTCTACAGATGTTAACATTGACACATTTGTGTCAACGGTCAAGAGCAAATAAGTTATCACATGAAGCAGCAAATATCTCTTCTATAGTGTCTTATTGTGTCAGTCCTCATTCAATGTAATCTTTATGTTGATTCTTCATTTAGTTACTTCTCAATCTTGCAATGTTATACCATATTGTCTTCATTTTAATAAATTTGTTGCTTTCAGGTTTCTATCATCTTTTTTTTTTGAAAGAGTTTTAAATTTATTTAGATCAAAAAAGCTTTTTTACAAATTAATGCAACCAAAAAACTAGACTTTTTGAATGTTTATAGAAACAAAACATAGGTGATTAAGAAATCTTCTCCACTCTATCCTCGAGACTCAAACCAAGCTGCCATTGCTTGTTAAGTGTTTCCTTCAGGTTTCTATCATCAGTCATCACTATTCGTTTTTCGATTTAACCACTTAGCCTTCACTCGTTTTGGCATTTCAGTTACAACGAATAGGATCTCGGCAGATGGAGCCTAGTTCTCTTGCATCACCTTGAATTACCATCTTGCTCTGGCATTTGACATCAATACTATTAAAACAAACTCTTTTTTTTAGGTATCCTTGTGTTTTACAAATATTTACCGTATTACCATTGTCTAATTATATTTAATAAAAATTAAATCAAAATAGTAGAGATTTAATTAAAACTACCTTCATATTTATTCCCTATTTGTTTAATTGCCCAACTTCTTCTGTGGTGGAAACAAAACTTGGCCTAAAATTCAACTTAGTGATGTTGATACCGTATATATAATACAAAACTTGGCCTAAAAGCTCTATATTTGCTTCAAGAATAGTTGAATCTCAAAAGAGATAATCTTCGTATTAATCCAAAAATACCATGCTTCACACTGAGTTGAGAACGATTGTCACCCTTTTTATATTACTCCAGTAGGAGTCACCAAGAGAAGACAACTCTTTATATTGTTCTATTGATAATAACAGAGTTAAAGAGATTACCGTTCAATATAATTTCATGCTGCCCTTCGTAGTAACCATAGTTTGTAGCAAGAACTTCATCACCCATCAAATGAAGAACCATCAACGATTGAAGCCGGTAAGACCCTTCGCCACGATCCGCTATAAATCTGTCAATTACTTTTCTAAACGGTTCAATTGAACCAAAGATTGTGTCTTTCCAAATCCATTGAAAGAAACATATAAAAGAACAATCAAAAACTTTGCCAGATTCAAAATAAATTGACAAACAAACAAATCAAGAGACCAAGAACAAAACAAATCAAAGAAAGAGGTGCAAAACAAACTAACAAGCTGATGTCAGAGCTATAAAAGCCTTCAATCATCCGCTTGAAACAATAAAAAATCTCTTTTTTTCTCTTTTGACGATTAGGGTTTTC